GTGGTGCAACTTCCCTTTAATAAGTTCTGGTGTCATCCTTGGATATGAACGGTGTGTTGTTTTAAGGCCAGATTTCACCACGTCCTCCTTTCTTGTAGCCTGTACCAAGTCCTCCACTCTTTTTTCCAAGTCTTCTATCTTCTCATCCTTTTCTTTGATGATTTCCTTCAATTGTTGAATTTCTCCAATCAAGCGCATCAGGCTTGTTTGTTGCTTCACCACCTTGCTCAGTTCTTCTGACATGACATTCAATGACAACTTGAGTTCTTCCATATCTTTTGTCAATCTTGAATCCATTGTTTTTTGACTTTCCCTCTGCTTAGAATCCTGGTAGTTTACAAGGCCTTTGCTGGTTGTTTAAGCACATATAGTAAAGAGTGCTTATCATCAAGAAAATAGCAGAAATGATCCTACAGGTTCAAACATTAGTTGAGTGTCCAAATGCAAATCAGAATGAGTATCCACCCAGACTGTGATAAAAAGCTTGTTAATCTCCCTCAAACTCCTGAAAGAGCTTAAAATAAAAATCCTCTCAGTACTCTGCATCTTTTTCCCTTTTTGTGCCACATTTTTTTCTTCCACTCAAATTTGCCTAAAGCGGCCCTCAGTGGATATCCAGATTATTTTACCTCACTGTTTGTAGCTTCTCCTCCATGGGAGGAATAAATATGCTCTAAAGATTACATTTTTTAGAAATGTTTTATTGGTTTTGCACCACTAAATATCTAATGTTCATTGTGTAAAATTATGTAGATATCCTCTGCAGAAAATATGTTGAGGTAATTTGAATCCAAACCAACTTTATTAATAAAGCACTATATTTTGCACAAATATAAAGACAATTACATTCAGAAAAAAATAACAATACAAGACAGGAAAATAGATTAAAAAAAAAAAACTGGAATAAAATCAACAAGGGATGAAAGTTTAAATAATTTTTTGTGTTTATTCTGCAGCCGTGTTCTTCCTCATGTCTGAGACTCTGTTTATGTGAATTCATGCACCTTTCAGGAACACAATGATGGGAGTAAGCACAGGGATGAACCAGGCCCTCATCGGCAGTAATCCCCTGGCCACCATGCAAGGTAAACGTGTGTGTCTACGGTGCGTGCGCTTCCAGCGCGCTGACCATCCCCTCTGGTCCCCATTTCCAAAAACCACTTCCCATTTCACCCTTCATCCACTCTGTCTGAAATTCATTTTTCTCGCAAAGCCTCAGGTGACAGTCGCCACCGGCGCTTGCTCCTCCTCAGCACAAAGTTTTTGAATCTCTCAGTATGGTGAAAGATTCAATTTCATTCTCATACAATGCCCCGCTATTATCACAGACTGACAAGGGCCCCTTATGGCGGAGCTTAGGAGGCCGAGTCAGCTCACGGCGAACAGTTGAACAGACACAATCCGGACCCTGACAATATTAAGACCTGTTGGCTAAATAACCAGCTTTCACTCACAGTTCCCCTTTCTGACTGAGATGATCTGCTGCTGAATCAATTGAGCATCACAAATAAGCTCAGCTCTGAATCCGTCACGTGCTCCATCTGCCTATAGCGCCGCTGAACATCTTTTTCTCCGGCTCTTTGGAGAGGCAGCGTCCTTCAGGCCATGTGTTGATGAGAAGGATACAGTCTGTTATGGAAAGCGCAGCTCTGGCTCCGTCGGCTCTGATAGAGTTTTAGGCTGCAGGAGGAAATAAAAGAGGCGCCTCCGTGAAAAGACGGGTTTGAAATGAAGTGTTGACAGGAGAGGATTGCAGCTTTGGCTCCCTCTGGGGCCACACATACGTCCTATGAATGTTTACACTCATGGCGCTGTAATGGATTAAAGTGTTTCCTATTCCGCTGGAACCAGAAAGATGGTCACGTCGGCCGGTAAAAGCAGCTTCAACCCAGAGTTAATCTCTTTGCTGCAGAAAAGTGTTTTCTAAAGTGAAACGAAAGCCTTGGAGCATTAATCTCTGAAATAAACTTCATGACTCCATCGTCCTAATTGGGTTCAGGTACAGATGAAGTCCACAGGAGTCGATAGAGTTTGATCTCAGCTGCATTTATCCTTATAGTCAGGAAGGTATTGTTCTCAGTAACTATTCTTCATCCTTTCCTGACTTTTTCTCTAATTTACACTTAAACTAAATCACAGTCAAACTAAAGCAGAGAAACATTAATTCCAACAATTTTCTGCAGAATTAAGATTTTTATTTTATTTGCAGTAAATGTTTCACAAATATATTTGCAAAGGTGCATTTTATGTAACCAGATGAACTTAGTGTAGACCTGCAGACTAGTACCGTACATGATATAAATGAGTGCACACAAATTTTTATTTTTATTTCACCAGGATCCTTAATACCTCAGGGGTCCAGTTCTCTGCCATTCTCTGCAGCTGAGCTGGTTTACTCAAAACTTTTCACAACTACATGCAAGTTATCACACTCCCTGTGAAGCTCAGTGACTTTCCAGTAAACCTCTGCAGACCATCATTTATCTCCTGCTGCTAATTTAGATCAAATAGACTCCTTTATGTCTCTTTCATAACACAGCTGTATCAGTGGCCGTTTTCTGTGTCTTTTGAATATCCTTCTTAGTTTGTGCAGAAACTGATTAAATTGATAATTATTGTACTTCTTTTAGCAGCACCAATATTTATAGAAACATTAGTAATAATCTTAACTTTATCTGGAATTATATGAGCAAAGCCGGTTTATTTTTACCACAACAAGTAGTTCCCTTTATGGAGGCAGAGCAATACATTAAAAGAACTAAAAGCCATAATTTATAAGTTTAAAAGTAATGAAAAGGTAAGAGCACTGTCCAGATTTTAAGAGCATGCGAATATGTAGAAATGCAATAAAAGAAAGGACTAAACTCACGTGGGATCTTTACTCAGATCTATATTGGCTAAGAGAGACAAATGTCTCTGTCAGTATTATAAGTATTATAAGCTGTGTAAAATTCATCTCTGCACTCTAAAATAAAATAACATTCATTTCTCAACAGGAAAGCTTCAGTCTTCAGCTAAATAAAATGTATTTAGTTATTAACTCAAGTAATCTGTTATATAGTAAGAGATCCTGTAATTCCATATAAGCAGTAAAAAGGGAGTGTGTAGATATGGAAAAAAAAGAGTTCAGAGAACAGAGCCCTGAGGCCCTAATTGACTTGTTTACTTGTTCGGTTTCATGGTGACCATCTAGAATTACCGATTTTCTGTCTGTTATTTTCTTTTTCAATTTGAGGCAGCCTATAGTAGAACAAATAAATATACCTTCATGCAGAACCTGTTAAGACATGTTAACATTTTAATTCAGGAGANGAGAACAGAGCCCTGAGGCCCTAATTGACTTGTTTACTTGTTCGGTTTCATGGTGACCATCTAGAATTACCGATTTTCTCACTATTCTTTTCTTTTTCAATTTGAGGCAGCCTATAGTAGAACAAATAAATATACCTTCATGCAGAACCTGTTAAGACATGTTAACATTTTAATTCAGGAGATCTGCATCATCAGCTAAACTGGTATGATGATATGGTTATAGTTTTCTTTATTGATAGGGGGAGCATGTAAGGAAAAAAAGCAGGCCAAGGATGGAGCCTTGAAGAACCCCACATTTAGTGTTTTTTACTCTCCAAGAATTTTTTTTTTTTTTTTTTATTAACAACGAAAACTAGAATTATTTTAAAAAAAAAATATGACTCACAAAATTAAAAACTAGAGCTAGAATATAATGAAAATTAATTGAAACTGTAATATGAGTTTAGAAAACTAATCGGAAATTAGCAAAGTTTTAAAAGAAAATGTACTTAGTTTTCATTTTTTGTCTTTATTATAATTGATTATATGAAGTCTAGTCTCCACAATGCAAAAGATCTAAATCTAGATAACTCATTCTTTCTTAAAATAAGTGCATTTGTTCTTGAATTGAGGAGGTAAAAGAGACATCTTGCCAATAGAACAAGACAATTTACACTTAAAATATGAAAACACAGTTGCATTGTCTTATTTCAAGTGCATATTATCTAATTATCTTATTGTAGGAGTAAAATTACTCATTCCATTGGCAAACTATCTCATTTACCTGCTCAAATTAAGGGTGAATACACTTAATTTAAGAAATTTTTACTTATTTCTAGATCGTTTTTGCAGTGCAGTTGCTGTTTTCACTTTTTTCCCATTGCTTCAGTAGATGGCAGGTAGGACTTTAGGGTCATTTGTGTTGCTGCAGAAGTCTGTCTCATGTGGGCTTTTCTTTCTTTTCTTTGTTTGTTTTGTTTAGTTCTTCCCTCTGTATGTGAGGAGGAGTATTACATGAAACAAAAAAACAAACTAAAATAGAATTGAAAATTACAGCTCAAACCTCCATAGAACTATAACAGATTAAATTTAAACCTTGCTGCTCTGTATGTTACACTCAGCCGAGTCAAATTCAGCTCTGAAAATTCGAGGCGTAAGTCAAAATGGATTCCGTCAAATGTTATACAATATTATATATCAGAGGATTTTGGTACGGATTCAAATTGCATCCAAATTCATCTAAAATTTGAAAACCTAAATTATAGGCAAACATTCATAGCCTCGTGCGACCATCCTGATCTCGCGAGCTTTCAAGGTTTCACTCGCTAATCAGTCTGGAGACTCTCCGTTAAAGAAAATTTGGAGCCGTTCACCAAACGAACGTCCAATCAGCGTTGGCTTTGAGGCGGGTTGAGAAGCAACGAGAAGCGCGACAGTTCAGTCTAAAGAACATGGCGGCTTCAGCCGATGAAACTAGCCTTAGCGTGGCTATCGAGCAAGTTTTATCGGAATTACAGAGTATTTCTTCACTGAAAGAAGAGCAAAACACTGCTCTGGAGGCTTTTCTCAGAGGAAAAGATGTTTTTGCTCTTCTCCTGACTGGTTTCGGCAAGAGTTTGATCTATCAATTGGCTCCTCTTTGTCGTTGCTCTGTTGTTACCTCATATGCTTCGTTGATCTGATTGGTTTATTTGGCCCGTCTATCACCAACATAGGCCAATCAGCTAACCAGTATTTTCGCCCCTTCCCAAAATTACTTCAACGGAAGTCAGGTTAAAACATTCATGCCATTGTCTTACTTTTTATACCTCCTAATCCTCCAGCCACTAGTTGGCAGCACACTGCCATAGAGCCCATTGTTTAGCTGCTCTGCACCAGTCGCAGCAGAGCAACAATAGTGTTTAATTACTAAAAAATCTTAAAATATCATCTTTGTTAATGTACACTGATAGTTCAGGATTAGTTGCATCATGTTGCCATTTTTTTGCCAATTCACACTTCTACTAAACACACTTAAAATAAAGTTTCAGCTCTTATAATTCTTGTGTTTTTAGTATCATTTTGAAGTGTCTCATCATCTTACAGTAAATCCTTTTGTCAGACATTTTGAACTGATCCTTTTTTAACAAAACACTGAGCTTCTGTACATTCTCTTCTGTGTATTTAATCCTCATTTCCATCGCCCCCTCCTGCTGATCATCCTCTGCTTATTTAGGAAGTTTTATTCTGTATTTCTTCTGATTTTTTGCTCACTTTCTCTTGTATTTCCTCCTTTCACCCTCCTCGGTCCCCCTCCTTGCCTCCTATCAGCTCTGGCAGCCAGCGGCGGTCAGCTACCCATCTCCAGCCTGGAGGGGGGGCCGGGCCACATGTTTCTGAGCGGACACGGCGGTCACTCCGTGCCCCCCTCCCTCCGCCCCTCTCTCTTCCTGAACCGCCCTGGCCTCCTGCCAATGGTGACTTGCTCGACAGCAGCTTCCTCCATGTCCACCATGGGGCTGGTCAGCAGCAGCGCGGGCGGCATCAGCGGCCCCAGACCCTCCTATTGCCAATCCTCACCCACCGGCACCAGCAACCTCATGAGCCCCACTTCATGCCCAGAGGAGTCTGCGTCTCCCTGTTCGAGTCCCGCCTCTTTCTGCTCCTTCAGCGAAGCCTCGCCGCCGCCCCTGGGAGGAGCCATGGCGGAGTGATCAGAGACTGACAGCCAAAGCAGAAGAGGAGGACGAGGAGGAAGCAGAGCTTTAAAAATCAAAATCTACAACATCGCCTTTCAACCAAAGCCATCTCTCCTCCTGATCCATCTCTAGATTGTCTCTCTTTGCCTTTTTTCCCTCTGAAGTCTCCTGAAGCCAAAAATACACAAAGACTCATGAGGGAAGGAGGTAAAGCGAGTAGGAAGGATGGAGAGGACGGAGAGAACGAAGAGGGGAACTTTGAAACCAAATAATGACCTACAGCTAGAGAGGAGCTTTTCTTTTCACCTGACATCATGAAACAAACACCAAAAAGAAAAGATTAAACTTGATGACGGCAGAGATGAAACTGCTCAGGAGAAACAGGAAGCTGAGGAAAGACTTGTCCCATAAGCCGAGGAGGCTAAAGAGAAAAACAATGTACGTGTTTCCAAGAGGAAAACCTACATTACAAAGAAGTAAACCAAAATCTCCAAATACCAAAAACTGCAAACCAAAAAAAAGAAAGAAAAAAAAACAACAAACGGAGAGAAAAGCTTTAGCTGAAAAAGACTTTTTCTGATCTTTATTCTGTCAAACATCCTCCATTCCACTCAGGATTCATTCCTTTGTTTCATCTTCAGTCAAAACGCTTTGCAAAACATCTATTTTTGTATTATTTTCTAACCATCGACCTTTAAGGCATTTATAATCCCACATTTTTACAGCTGATCCCACCTGCAGGATATGAACCTACCTCTCACTTCACAGCTTTACAGCGATCAGCCTGCCGTACATTTACAGACACTGCTTGTCTTAATAAAACCCGGATTTAACGATGAGAACGGATGCAAGGAGACGGCTCATCTTTTCTGAGAAACGCTATATTTTAGGTAAAACTCGTACGGCCAATGAAAGTTACCTACAGCTTTAATTACATGTCTGATTTTTGGAGATTCATCCTTATTTTCTCAAACCAAAGCAAACACCCCGAGCTCAGCCTTTAGAGGGTTAGATGTGGACACATTATCATGGGATTTCTTCTTCTTCTTCTTTTTTTTTTTACATTATTTGCCTTCTTTGATTTATTATCCAGGCCATACACACCATCCCACCATCATCATGTCATCTTCCAGACCGTCACTCTTGGATACCAAAGCATCGCCTCTGGCAGCGTTCGTCTCTGGATTCGCCCGGGAGACGAGAGTCCAGACAAACCTCACACACAAATACAAGCATAAGATAGACCAAAAAAAAAAAAAAAAAAAAAAAAAGGAGGTGAAACACCGGCGTCCCCCCCCACAACAACACCCAAAAAAAAAAACCTTGCCCTCCAACCCATCTGCCCCTCTCCTTTGTCTCCAAAGATCAGATCAAAGGGCCCAAAACAAGCGAGGAGGAGCAGAGGAGCCAAAGGGGGGAAAGCAGGACGAAGGAGAGGATGAGGAGGAAGTGCGCTTGAAGCAGCGGACCAAAAAAAAAAAAAAACAACCCAAAACCAAAAGCTACTTCTTCTGCTACCTGCTCTGTTTAAGCGACTGATGTGAAACCAAATACAAACAGAGGAGGGGGAGGAGGGGGGAGGATGGAGGGGTGAGTAGCTCCAGTCTGTCCGTCTATAACTGTGATCGCTGTTTTGGTTCCGGCAGACAGAATCACTCCCTCCCTCCTAAAGCCAACCCCCCCTCCCCGGCTTTATTCTCTCCTTTCCTGGACTCATTAGATAAGGATTAACCTCAACAAACTGAATTTATATATTTATATTTAGTTTTTCCATAGTGTGTCTGTTCCCCGCCGCGTCGTAAGAAGTCTGGAAGCAGGGGAGGGTTTTACCTACTTTCATACGTTCCCATCGCCTCCTTTAGTTGCTCTTTCTCTTCACATGTTTGGAAACGACTGTGAAAATGTAGCTTCCAAGATTTACAGGGGCGGAAAAACTGCTTTTCAGTCCATTCAGAACTTTGTGAAAAAGCCAAAACTGAAAACCAAAAGCTTTTGTTTTTTGTTTTTTTTTAGATACACAACAAACCAAATAGACCAACCAAACCAATGCACAAGCTGAATGACTGCGTGACTGAGTGTGAACCTGGTTAAACAAGCCTTTGTTTGCAGAGAAACTTTGGTTAAGTGTCTGTTTTTCAACCTGGACTTGTGTCTCTTAATTTCACGATCATCTCCGGCGTCTTTTTGTGCAGAAATTTATATTTCATTTAAATAAAAAAAAACAGTTAAAAACAAACCAAAGTACTAATTAGCCAAATAAATACACATTTTAAGGAAAAAAAGCCAGTTGGAAAAAGTTAGACTTGCAAGTTAGAAAACAAATGAGTTTGCCAAATATAGTTGCACTGTTACTAATACAAGCTGATAATAATATATTTATGGATTAACCCTTTAAAGTCCAAACACAAAATTACAATTTTTTGGTTTGAAGTCCTTATTTGGCCTTTTAATATTTTTTGTGTAGTCTTCTACTGGCATTTATCAGGTATATCTGATTGTGTACAATAGGATTTTGAGCAAAGTTTTTAACATTAAATTATGCAAAAGGTGTCAGACGCAAAACATTTCAGAAACCGTATGTATCAAATATGATACATTTGGCATTACAGGGTTAAAAAACACAAATTGCAGCCTGTCTCCTGCTGGTTTATAGGCATAAAAAAAAACACCAGAGTTATAACAGTTTGTTTTTTTTGTCAAAAATGTGACTTTAGCCACAATTTTGGTAAATCTCCAAGTAGGAATTCAAATTTCATCATTAAAACCAAAACCACATTAAACCCTGTAATGTAATCTGTTCATTCTGGTTTTAGTTTAATCCAGATGCTGACCACCAGTAGAGTTTAGTCTGTAGTTTTTCATCCAACCAGTCCAAACAAATCTTTGTCTTGTAAATAAGCTCCTGGTAAGAAATCCTTAGATGTAATAAGCTCCAATAAAACTACCAAAAGTTGCTCTTTCTTTGTGCAAATTTTTAATTTTT